TGAATCCAGAATATCTGGAGCAGGAACTGAGATTTCTTTGAAACATCACATAGTGGTTTTTCTAACCATTTTAGTGCTTTCATGTATAAACAAATTATACTTGACAATGCTTCACAAACAGATTATTTCTCTTTGCAAGTAAGAAGAATATATTAACTGAATTAATTTTTTCCTGGTGCCAAATGAGCCTCTGAATTGATAGCTGGCATTGCCTGATGAAGGATACAATGACAAACTAAACAACATACAGTTTTTGTGTTGAAAACTGTGAAACAATAAACAAGAAAATGTAGTCTGGAACACTCGCCAAGTTTCTCTACATGTCCAACAGTGAGCATATTGCAAGTTCAATACTGTCTTCCAAAACTCTTAAATTCTGCAGACTAGATAATATACAAATAGGGTGGGATCTGAAAAGCTCCTTGGGTTCATGCTAAGAGTTTGCACTAGTTTAGCTGATTTTTTGGCAGGGGGTTTAGCAGCTCACTTCCGTGGCACATAGCAAATTTATTTTGACTTACTCCTTAATTTCAAAAATACTTGGGCATATGCCTTAACATTGGGATAGAGATGATGTGACCTCTGGGAAAATTGCACAGTAAAAGCCTTGTCTGGAAGCACCCAGTCAATGAAGAAAATTATATAAAGTTGACCTACAAATGATACAAATAAAATAAAATAAAGTCTAAAGTTCTTTAGGCATTACATAACTTATTTCATGTGTTTTCATGCTCTCACTGTAGAGCTTAAGAAAGTCACAGAAACAACAAATGTTATCCAACAATTCAGTTCTTAAAGCCACACCATTCTTCCCCACCCTGAAAGGATGCTCTTAAGAATGAAACCTCACCTGTGTGGAAAAATGAAACATTAATGGGAAAAGAATTCACAAGCAAGTCTGCTGAATTTCTTGCTTCATGTAAATAACTGCTTCAAAACAGGCAACACGGAACTAAAAGGGATGCTCTTAGCAGTGTCTTGGTAAATAATGTACACTGACATTTCACTTTACTGCTTTTTAAGGATATACAAGCGTTGGTGAGAGTAACATTTTCTCCCTATCCAAATTGGGGAAGCTGTAAATGGGGATAGGAGTTCAAATGTTTTCATGGAATTTATAATGAAGATGAGATGCTCTTGGGTCTGACTCCAGCTTTTGAGGGAACCTTTTCTCATAAAATAAGAAGAGACAGTAAACTTCCCCATGTTAAATGTAACTTCTTTTTTAAAAATATGGCTGAGGAGAAGAGATCGTCTAAATTATTTCTTGCTCTGGAAGTAAATTTGCATGCATATTGAGTCTGAGAAGGTGTAATGTTTTCTATTCCATCTGGCCTAACACCAAGAGAGATCTGAAGGGAAAAAACCCTAAAAATCAGGCCTTCTCAGCAGTAGCCTCTGGAACAACTTACCTGCAGAGATCCTCCTGGCCCCCTTGCTGAGGGACTTCAAGACCAATCTGAAGACATGGCTATACAAGCAGGCTTTCCCTACAGCCATCACCTAGCTTATTTCTTTCCTTTTATCCTCTCTTTCTTCTTCCATCTTGGACTCTGCGATTAATTCAGATTTTACATTTAGTTTATTTTTTATGCTTTATGTAAACCACCCAGAGTAGACATGTTCTAGATATAAGTTTAATAAATAAAAAAGTATATAAGTTTAATAAATAAATAAAGTATCTTTAATGTGAAATTGTTTATGGCTGGTCATTTGAAAATAACAAACAACTTCAGCACATCCACAGCATGGTTATAGTAGGAAGGAAATCTATATTTGGCTTAGATTTTGCATGTTTTAAATGATTTTTTAAAAAGTGATTACACAACCCACATTAAAGTGCAGATTGTTTTGACAGGGAATCATGTTGTTTTGATCAGAAGCCAGAGGGTTGTTTATTTTAACTCAAATGCCAAATTGATTTATTTTGAATCATTTTGGCATGTGAACATCTCTGTTGTTGTAAATTGTGACTTTGGGGTTTGCCACTCACTGGTGTGCCTTCCAGTGTGGAATAGAGATTTGCTTTTCTTATAGTAAGCTCTTTGGATTTTCAGTTGTGGAGAAATATGGCAAAGGAAGGAGAGAAGACTGGGAATAAATGAAGGATTTGACAAAATTGAAAATTATGAAAATCCCATATCAACCTTGTGCTTTCTTTTTGCTGTACTTTTTTTTGCTAGAGATTGGTGGTTGGTTTTTGTTTTTGTTTTGCCCCTTTTTGCCACACCCAGCATTACCACAGCGTTGGGCAGGAAAGATGCAAAAACTGCTACTGGAGGCCTCTCAGAAGAAACATTCTTAGCCGATAGTTCCACTAGCAAATAATAAAGTCCTCCAGTGTATTTACAGTTTCTTTTATAGATCATGATGATGACCATGATGATGAAAGTGGCTCTGATTCTAGTGGTAATCAAAGAAATGTGCTATTAAGAGTAATCATCATGACCTCTGCATTTGGGTCTCTGGTAAACTCACTAACTTTTCCAAATGTATGGTATGCAAGACCACACTGGCATTTCAGCTTAATTACTCTAATATGACTAACTCTGTTCTGCTATTCACGATTCATCTGATTCAAATAAGAATTCTTATTTTAAAAGATTTGGAAAGAGCAGCCCAACATTTTATTCCTCTTTAAATATCTTGGTAGGAAAGATTAACCCCATCATACTACGAGTTTTACCTATCCACATAGGTTTTCATCCTTTCCCACCACAGCTTCTACCTTTCCTACTGTCCCACATCTGTTAAAAGAATGTGTATTCAGCAGTAAGCAAGGCCTTGTTTCCCATAACCACAAGCAAGAACTTCAGGGAAATCAGAAGAAGCCAAAGAGGTTTTTTTACCCCAGTCCAAGGGAGTTGCTGCTTTAGCCTGAAATACAAGAGAGAGCAAGAGCTGCCTCATCTGTTGCTATCCTCTGCTGCCTTCCCCTGTTCTTTCTTTCTGCCTTAGTGCCCTCTGATGGCCATCACATGATCTGTGCCTGGCTGCACATGTACATCCAGTGGTGTATCACTCTACCAAGCTTTCCCCAAGACATTTGGCTGCAGCCCTCTCATTTTGCCTCCACCCACCCTGCCACTGGAGGCAAGCGCCGTCTTTCACTTTTGCATACCTGATACTGGATAGCACTTTAAAAGAAAACATTTAAAGTGGCATGAAATTAACATTGCCCTGTACCTATAACATGTCTACTAGCTTAGCCAAAATAGCCAAAAGTAATGCAAAATATGTGGTCTCCCCCTTCCCAAATCTGTCTTATACTGAAGCAAATAACAAGAAACGGACTGCCCATAACTATGGGGTAGGTCCCTTTTTTTAAGTCATTGTATCTTTTATCTGTGAACTTCATTGCACAAATGAATGCACTAAAATATCCCTGGCTGATTTCTGAGATGTGGCACAGAGGAAGAAAAGAGTTCAAAGACTGTGAGTTAGAGTTCACAGAGTCAAAGCTCTGGAGCTGTCTGAGTAGCAGAAGGTATGACATTTTCCACTCCATCTCCAGGCTTCCCTGTTCCTTACAATCCACACAGTAGCAGGGAGAGAAGCGAATTTTCCCAGGAACACTGTATTATTGCAAACTATCCCTGTTATCATTACATGGTGGCTTGTACTACAGTGTGCGATTAAGAGCCACTGACTACAGAAAATCTGGTCCTCGTTTGTTGATATGTATCAATCTAGCAACCTGTTTTGACTTTTCTTATGGGGTGGTATGGCTATGGGGACTGTCTCAAATGAGCACCTGCACTCCCAAATCTACCACAATACCTCTGCTTATCATGTTAGGTCTAATCCGTGACCCTTCTTCTGAGGGGTACTGCTTTGCAGAACATGCTGAACAATATGAATGATATTCTTCAAAGTTGCTACAAGGTTGAATAATTTCATAATCAGTACATCATGATCAGTGTATTCAAGGCTTCAAAAAGAATTAATAGGACATGATTGCTGCTATAAGTCTCTTGATGGAGATCACTGACACAGTCCAGAAGCCTGTCTTCTGCCGCACATAGGATGAAAGCCAAGCTAGCTGTTGTTATGTGCCATCAAGCCAGAACCAACTTATAGTGACCCTAATAAAATTTTCAAGGAAATATTTAAGGAGTGTTTTTACCTGTTCCATGCCCCCCCAATGAGCTTCCATAGCTGAGTGGAGATTCAAACCCAGGTCACCTGAATCCTAATCTATCACTCCATTCATTTCACCACACTGGGTATCTTCAAGCTAGCTGCCCTGTTCTGCAAATACAATTTTAATTGTAGTATTCATTATTTATAGCTGCATCCGTTCAGATCTGTTACCAAAGCAGCACATTCCACACTTTCCACATGTTGTTACCACCCACGGCCCATTAGGAAGCCCCTTGTGTATCAGACCAGAACTTAAGCAAGTGTACATTTATCCTGTTCTGAGGTTGTGTAGTTAGTGTCAGTTTGTGGACTAATTTCTAAAGCTTCCTTGTTCACCAAATCTGAAATCATTTTCAAGGGTAAGAGGAGCTTATTCTAGTCTGTTTAGCAGCCAACTCAGATGTGCTGACAAAGGAACAAGAGATTAGTGATATTTGTGCATTAGTATATTAAAGGTAATAGATGTCGCAGCAAAAGACATGTGAATGAGCAGGACTGTATTAGAACAAAATAATAGACTCAAGATGCAAAGGTAAGTCTGTAGTATATGTGTAATTGCTGAGTAGTGGTGGTTTAGGGAAATAAAGACCGTTCTCTCACTTTATACTTAATAAACTAACAAAAATGTAACTGGCTTGTTGGAGACCATGTTTTTTGATTTCATGGCCTTTCTCTTCCTTGCATTATTAATACATTTTCTTTTTTGCTTGCATTTATTTTGAGCCTCTTGTTTTTTTTCCTTTAATAGATCTTGAGATGTGAACCTAAGTTTCCTATTATGTCATCAGTTTAACTTGATTATCTGTTAAATATAATAAGACAGAGTTAATAAATATCTTTGCTCTCTTGTAGGAACCATGAAGTACCATTTCCCTGCTAAGAACCTTTTCCTTGCCCTTTTGTTGTTAGAGGCAATCTGTGTGGGTAAGTACAAATCTCTTCCAATTCATTGCTGAATTACTCATTTTTCTCTTCTCTCTTATTTATACCTTAACATTGAGCCATGTGTTATTATCCCTGGTTAACTTCAACTCTTGTGCAAATGAGAGACCTGTTTTGTACCTGGGTGAACAACTCAATTATTGAGTTATACTGTTGAATTTTAATTCATTATATTCTCTTTCATCCAGTCCTTGCTCTTATATGCCAATACGTTCTTCACTTAGACATGAATTTACACCATTGGCTTAAGCAGTAACAAGCATGATATGATTATGCAGGAAAGAATGGCCCAGGATCTGATCCAGGAAACAAGTTGCCACCAGAACTAGATAAGCGTTGAATCATGAATATACACAGCATTACATGAAGCCTGAAAATTGCAATGTTTGGTTCAGTTCAAACTTATTAAAAAGTGCCCTTTTTATAATAGCATGGTCTACATGATATAGTGGATGCATATTTCATTTTAATGTATTCTCAGCTTTGCAGTCCCAGGACAAACATCTCATCTGCCTCATGCTTGTTATGGCTGTTATTTGCCATTTCCATGTAACTAAGTGATTATTAGAATGTATGGATTCACTGCTAATATAATAGTGAAGTTATTTGGATTTGTAAATTAAACAAAAAGATGCGACCTCAGATACTGGTACAATTGAATCTGTGACAAATTTCATACAATAGTTTTTTTTAAAAAAACTCTGAATTATTGGTTATACAGCAGCCTGTGGATTTGGGTTCCCCAAATGTACAACATATATGCAAGGGTAATAAACAGCTAGTTAGAGGTTATGCAAATTTGAAGGGAAATAGAGGAAATGGGAGACAGATGGACAGGTTGGTCAGCTGAGTGGGAAAAGGAAGAGAATGGGGGAAGAGGATGCAGCTTACAATGACTTCCAACAATGTCCATCCCCGTTGTATATGATGATGGCGGTGTATGTGTGAATTTATGTTACCTGGGAAGTCTTGCACTAGGAGGGAAGTCGTTTATAAATAGGTCAGATGATTCAAGAAAGGGCACCTAAAATTATTAGGGTGTTAGAACATCTTCCATACAAAGACCAGCATTGGGGCATGTCTAGTTTTGCAGAGAAGGTTAAAGCTTATGGGGACATGATAGAAGATTATAAAATTATACATGGTGCAGTGACCATTTAGAGAATAAAGTTATACTTCTTCTTTGTGGCCTCTGTGAATCACACTCTGGATGATCAGCACCTGCACAGAGCCTCGTCAGAATATTCTAGAGCTTCTGCGGTAGCAAAAATATACATTAGTGCAGACCCTCCCCCTTGGTTTATGTACCTTGGCGCCAAGGCTCTCCTTTCAGTTTCTTTTCTATCGTAACATCTGCGAGTTTTTCTGAAAGTGAAAGAAAGAAAGTTACTTACCCTTTATTATTTCAAAATCTTTTTCTTTACCAATCCTTATCATTATTCCAAATCAAGTTATGCTCTGGCCTTAGGGCCGAAGCGCCCTCCCCTTCCCTAGTTCTCAGTTCATGGCCTCTTCAGGCCCGTTCAAATGCTGCATGATCTGCAACAACAAAATCCCACTTTCTGATGGCCACGCTAAATGCCTTTTTTGCCTCAGTGAGGCTCATCAAACTTCTTCCTGCCCTCACTGCAAAAATTTCAAGCGTGGAGTTCTCTGCAGTCACCTTTCTAGGCTCAACCTTCAGCCTTGGGAGCAATCTCTCCAGCCTGCTAAGCCCATGGCCCAACCTAGAGTGGTCTAGTAGTCCAGATAGGCGGGGTATAAATAAATAAACCTTCCTGTAAATCCATACCGCATGCTAAAGTCATGGATAAAGCCGTTTCCGAGGTGGCAAAACAACGTCCTTCGGCTACTCCATCTTGTTTTGAACACCGATGCCCCTGACATCAACTTTATCGACCACCATGTCGGTGCACAAAGCCGAACAGTCAACATCGAAACCATCGACATCGAAAACAGCCACCAAACAAAAACTGTTGACTGTTCAGCACCTGAACCTTCACTACTGAAGAAGGCTCAGTCGTCGAAGCCCTCCAAAGCCATTTCCACCCTGACTCCACAAGCACCAGAGTCCAGAGACCCCATCTGTGTTGGTTCTCTCTCAGATGATGAAGCACTTCCACCTCACCAGCTATCACCATCACAGTCTCCCAAATGGCAACAGTGTGACTCATGACTTCTCCTACTAGCCCTCAGCAATTTTCAGGCTCTCCTATTAAGTCTTCACCAGTTGCTTCACCAGACATCCACGGCACCAAAACGCAACTTGAAACCATGCCTTACTCTGCTGTAGTAGGCCTACCACCTTGGCCTCCAACACATCAACAGAGGCACCAATCCTACAAAAGCGTCCACTTGCCTTCTCATGCAGACGTGACTTACGCTCAGCACCATCATCGGGATGTGTATTCCACTGTCATCCAATGTGGTCCATTGGTGCCCTTGTCACCTCGGCAACTGCCTTGACACCAACAGCAACTTCCACGTAGACATCGACAGGTTCTAATACCACCTAATAAAGATAGCAGGCACATTGACTCTATGGGCAGATGGCTATATTCTTCTGCCGCTGTCCTTTACTATGAGGGTTGCCAACTATCAAGGAGCTATAGGCGCCTACCAACGTTTTCTTTGAGACAATATGTCTACCTTTGTTGATGCACTCCCCAAAGGCAAAAGGGTCTTAGCTCAAACCTTTCAACAAGAAGGTATCTGTTGATGCACTCCCCGAAGACAAAAGGGTCTTAGCCCAAACCTTTCAACAAGAAGGTATCTCAGTAGCTAAACAAAAGATGCTAGTAGTACTTCGCTGATTTTCCTGGCTTAGAACTGCTGGTCTCACAAAGGATGCCCATGCATGCAACAAAGACCTTACTATAAACAACAACCTTACCAAACCAAACCTTGACAGCAAACTACAACACAGGCACAATGACCGCAAATATCCCAACACAACCTCTCACATTTACCCCCTGCCCCCTGGAAGCATTTACCTGTGTGGAACATCAACACAGATGCCTGGGTCCTCTTCATCATATGACAGAGATACCGCATAGACGTCTACCAGCTTCTTCCACCATCACACCTCTGTCGCGACCCCTGCAGGAAAAAATACAGTTGTTACTCAAAGACGCCATAGAACCAATACCACTACACCAAAAGTCAAAGTTTTTTTTCTCTAGGTATTTCACCGTTCCCAAAAAAGATGGAGGCCTTCTCCCTATCCTCGATCTCAGAGAACTGAACCAATATATCACTCCCAGCAAATTCCGCATGGTTACCGTCGAGTCTGTCCTTCCACTACTCCGCAAAAAAAGACTGGTTCACAGTTATGGACCTCAGAGATACATATTTTCATGTCTCTATCCATCCATCTCACAGACCCTAACTATGCTTCCAACTCAGAACCCAGACCTACCAATTCAAAAGGCTTCCATTCAGACTCACGACGGCTCCCTGGGTATTCACCAAATGCATGCCCCCTTTGTCAGCATATCTCAGGCTAGATCAGACTCTCTCTCTCTCTCTCTCTCTCTCTCTCTCTCTCTCCCTGTGCACACGCTTCCCAAACAAACTGGAAGTGCAAATGTTACTGCTCCCATGCAGGAGTCAGCAAGAACTCCAGCGGTGACACGTTTGTTGATCGTTGGGCCAAATCACTTACTTACCTCTTTCCACCGTTCCTACTTCTCCACAAGGTCATAGCCCACCTTCAAAAGGACAGGCCCAGTGCTATCCTAATAGCTCCATGGTGGCCACAACAGCCATGTTTCCTGATTCTCCACCGGATGTCATCCAACATTTATCACCTGCCCCATCTACCTCATCTACTTACACAAGACAAAAAAAATATGAAATTCTCCACCCAGAGCTCCCTGCCCTTCATCTTGCAGCATGGAGGATTCTGCCTCCCTGATTAATGTCCTTCATCATGCAAAAGAAACCCTCAACTAGGAAGGCCAACATGTATAAATGGAAAAATTCCAATAATTTACTACAGCATCATTGCTACCTTTGCTCAACCCTTCCCTTACAACTGTCCTTCATTTTCTATTGCAACTAAAAACTAAGGGACTTTCTCCTTCATCCCTCAAAGTCTACCTTTCAGCAATTGTGGCTTATCAACCACCAACCTCTCTGGCAGCTTTTTTCAGACACCCTACTCTGAAATGTTTCCTCAAAGGACTGTCACACATGTATCCTGACATATGTCCTCCATCACGTTGACATTAGTCCTTCAGTACCTTACAAGGGCCCCGTCTGAGCCCCTTGCGTCAACTGACCTCAGATTACAAATATATTTACTGCAATCTTGGCAAATAGAATTAACAAGTTTATTACAAAATATATTAAAGAAGATAAAAATGGGGTTTTAGAGGGAAGACAAATGGAAAATTTAACTAGGAGGGTTTTGAATACTGTATGTAATATAGAAAAAGATAAATCAAAGGCAGGTATTTTATCATTAGATATTTTTAAGGCATTCAATTGTGTAGAATGGCCAACATTAAAGATCTTTTTAAAGGATTGGGGTTTTGGAAAGAAATTTAGTGAGGTAATAGACCAATTGTATTTGGAGAACACTTCTGCAGTAATTGTTAATGATGGGATGACAGAGCAGTTAGCTCTAGACCGAGGCACTTTCTCCAGTTCTGTTTTGTTTGATTATTGAAATGTTATAAGGTATGATGATTTATTTGAAGGTATGGGTGAAAATAATTACATAAAGATTAATTTATTTGCCAATTTAGTGAGGTAATAGACCAATTGTATTTGGAGAACACTTCTGCAGTAATTGTTAATGATGGGATGACAGAGCAGTTAGCTCTAGACCGAGGCACTTTCTCCAGTTCTGTTTTGTTTGATTATTGAAATGTTATAAGGTATGATGATTTATTTGAAGGTATGGGTGAAAATAATTACATAAAGATTAATTTATTTGCCAATGATTCCCTATTGACAGTGAAAAACAGCTAATCAAG